TTTTCATTGAACTTAGTTGGGGAACTCTATTTGTCAGTGAAGGAGAGAGAAAGAATTTAGTGACTGAGTGACTGCCAATCCTTTTCCGCTATGATCTTTAAGTTTCAGGCCGCGTGTTCGCTAAGAGGTATAACTTATCACTCAAAAAATCACTTACCCCTATATTATTAGATTCGTTAATTCACGGTCGAATGAAAATCACTTATAACCGCCACACCTTTCCCGTTCCTCTTCTTTTTCGTGAACCGGTATTTGCAAAATGGCACCCTAGTGCGCCCACCCACTGATTCTATATTTTTCTCTTTACTCTTACGGGGATTTTCAAATGTTGGCGAATCTTTTGATCCCGTGGATATCATAGAAATACGATACATCCCCAAGAACACGCAGGATTAATTACTAGTTTGGAGTGTCTTTTTTTTCTATTTGATTCAATTTCGTGCAGGTACAATTGGAAAAGCTATGAATCCATCTCTTCTCACCCCCAGCTATGGATAAATAGCGCTACAGATAGGATCCTATAGCCTTTGGTGGCAAACTGTCAAGGAAAACTTTGAATTCAAGAACAAAGGAAAGTTATTTGGCTTCCTCGCCAGCTTAGAGTAAATAGCAGATTAATGTTGTGACCGCTACTGGTAGCAGTCGTAATTCCATAAGGATTGCCTCACTGTATAGGTTGAATAAGTCCGGCGAGACGACACGCCCTTGTCTTACACCCCTTTCTATCATTGTATACTTACTGAATTCATTTCCTATTCGTATACAGGCGATTTGATGCCCATATAGGTTCCGGTTATTGTAATATCCTTCCCAAAGATTAATTTTATTATTATTCTTTGCGAAATTTACACTTTTGACTTATTCGGAAATAATACGCATGTTTTATAACATGGGCCTTATCTCAGTCAGAAAACGTGTTATGAATTATTTACCTTTAATGTGGGAAATAAAAATGTCCTTTTTGCTCTTTCAATACGAAAAAAATGACATCTTTTTAATGACATCGAACAGTGGACAATAGACAGTGAACGCATTCGAACACATGGATATGTCGATTATATATATATATATATATATATATATATATATATATATATATATATATATATATAATTATTTATTTAAAAATATGATTCCAAATCGCGACATAAGAAGTCCCATGTTTCAAAACAAGAGCCGAAAACGTCAATATAATTATTTAAATTAAATTGAGTTAAAATAAGCTCTGTTCCATCTTCAAGCGAAATTTTTTTTGGAATAACGTGTTTCTGAAATTTACGTGTTTTAAAAATTGAAATCAAAATTTCCATGGTAATAGTCGCGATTTGGAATCATATTTTTAAATAAATAATTATATTTATGCTCTACTTTTGTATCGAGCAATATTTTTAAAAAATAATAACTAAAATACTAAGGGACTTTGGATTATTTACCTAACCCGTTCCTTCCTATTTTCTATATATTTCACACACACACACACACACACACACACACACATATATATACATATATATATATATATATATATATATATATATATATATATATATATATATATATATATTCACCACAGGAAGAACTGATGAGAAGTTGCTCAAATTTCTGGCTGTTAATTCTTTTAACAAAATGTAAAATCAGGAAATAGATTTTATTTTTGCAGCCACCGGGTATGCAAGAATTATCTTTCTTTTTTAAAAAGTTTCTTTGATGTCAGATTAAAAATAAAAAGAAGTTGGTTTTTGCTTTATTCCTATCCAGTTATTTCGATTTTTTTTTATTTTGCCTGGATTCCGTTCGAGTGTAATATAAAATCTGCGCTATTTCGGGAGCCACTCGTGACAATTTTTTCCTGGATTAATAAGTTTGGCCACATTGGCTCTCATCATCATATCATCAAGGACTTAAAACTGTGAAGATTATAGTGGTTAGGAAAGCAACCAGAGATTGATATGCCGTTAAACAATATCAATCAACTAACAACCAACGACGTCTTGCAGCGCAACCATCGATGCATTTTCTTTTTAATATTCAAACTATACAAGACATAAGGTCCACTCAATGTAGAGGGTTACTCTTGTATGAATGGCAAGAATAATTGTGCGCAGTTCATGCGGTTATGTCTGAAAGTTAAAGAGGTTAAAATTTTAGTGGTCTGGAAAGCCTTCTCCTGGGAGTCTGTTCTACGTGCCAACAATTCTTGGGAAGAGTCTATCAAACTGGAACATACTCCTTCTAATGTAATACAAATGGTAAATTGCCCTCTCAAGTGGTTTGCAACACATTAGTTATCATCTCTCAGTTGCGTCTCTGACTTTGGGCAGAGTGCACTCAGGGGCGGCTCTGTCAAAGGACAGAGTCGCAACTGAGGAAAATTATACTGAGAGGTGACCAGCCTTGGGGAACAGCTGCCGCGGCCGCGCTCTCTCATTGCACGGGGTCTGCGAGCAAATTTTGTTCCTGGCCCGGGTGTATGAACTCGGGCTTCCAGACCTTGTATAAAACCTGACCTCGTAGGGGGTGAGTAAATACAAATGTAATACAAAGGGGATAAGAGTGGTTCGCCTTAAGGTACCGATCTGGGAGCGTTAGAGATTGGGGAACTAAGGAATGTAGATCATCTGAACATTTTTCATGGTACTAGCGATATAGTGGCTTGCAATATTTCGACTCTGGGGAAAAAGGTTGTAGGGTGTGAAATGATTCATCACCAACAAGAACTCCCACTCAATCTAAGAAAAGGTACATATCAACCGTGTAGGAAACCCAACGGCTAACCACTTTACATACTAATGAAATAATTATCCACAAAGCCGTTATGAGATTATGAAACAGTTCTGTAATTTAGTAGGTTTTCGGCAACACTTATATACATACCAAACTACTAAAAACACCAACAGAAAGAGAACCATCATATGGTTTAACCCACCGTCCATCGTAAACGTAAAATCAAACGTACGAAAAGTATTCATTAAACTCGATATTTAACCGACCCTCCCATGGTGCGGGATGAGGCACAAATCCGGTTTAACGTGGGACTTTCCGAGCGCGTACGCCTGGGCAAAAATTCTCTGTAGACCCCCGTATGTATGGGGTCGGGTGGCTGTCTACCTCCCCAGACGACGCTTTGAAGGCGGAGAGGTCGACAAGCAAACTCAGAGGTTTGATAAACTGTAAATATTCATTAAACTCGTCCATAAACACTTCACTACATCAAGCCCTCTCCACAAGATATTCAACAGAAACAATCAGCTACAGTTGTAACCAGCTCATGACACAAGAAATAAAATATCACAACAGAAAAAATAACCAACAAATCACCGGCACAAACGAAACCAACCTAAAACTGTAGAGCAATGTTTCCGGAAATGGCTATTGTTTGGAAAACAATATACCAAGCCACTGTAGAAACAGCAGATAACGAAGAAAAATATAAATGTGAGTTACTGAAGGTCTCTGGAAACAGAATCTATACACACAATATCTAACTAACTATTATTGGTAATAGTAAATACACAAATAGTACAACCCTTTCCAAACACATACGGGAAATTAATAACAAAAACTTAAGCTATACCTAAAAACTCATGAAAAATAAAGAAAAAAGAATCAGCCTATAAAAATAAATACAACTGCTCAGTACTGTTATGGGTTCCATCCCTTTTTCATACAAGTGGACTCGACCAGTATGTACTGCTGCCGTTAAATATCCAGAGTCAGTCAGAGTAGAGGGTGATTGTGATTGAGTTGGAGGTAGAGTAATAGTGTGAGGTAACCGCTTGTAGAAGTCACAGTTACAAGCACGTAGACTCTGAGGAAGTCCTACTTTGAGACTGGATTTACCAGACTATATATATATATATATATATATATATATATAATATATTATTATTTCTACTAACTGCGTTTCTGGATCTACTAACCGTATTACCAATTGTATTATTTTGTAAATCCATTTATTTGTTATATTTCATTCCTGCGTTTGTCATTTATTGGAGACCGAATTTCAACTCGGAATCCACAACAAGTACCTACATGGGTGACCGCTTGGGAATACCAGTTGTTGTAAGCTTGGCTGTGGGGGTGGGTATAAAGGATACTTGCTCGTAATTGTTAATTGGTAAGACGAGTCCCAATTCGAGACGGGTTCATTATATTTTCTTACGCACAAATACCCTTGTGAAAAGTATGAAGTCATTTATTCTCCCCCCCCAGCTATGGGTAAATCACAGGCCAGAATAAACTCTATAGCTTTGCTTGCGGACTTGAGAAATCGTAATAAAAAAGCAGTCTCCGGAACAAGCTGCGTTTACTCCTAAAAAGTCGCAAGTTCGAATATTTCCGGAGAGCAAATTTTCTTTATTAATTTTTTTCGTGTGCACAGATCTCCAGGTTGGTCTGAATTCAGAGTTTTCCTTCTCCCAGACTGGTTGCCAACCAAGGCTATTCGTTTTGTCGTTCATTTGAACTCGGTATAAGACTATTTCACCATGCTAGTTAAGTTTTGCGGGATGTAGTGTTCTTACTTAAGGAGGCACGGTAGAGAAATGGATATGTTTTAGAATAATTTTAAATATAACCGTTGCTATCTACCCAACAATCGTTCAATCGACATCTCCAGCTGCCTTGATCTATCCACTACACTTCTCTTCATCCTTTCTTCTATCTGATCTGGCTCCAAATTTTCTGTAACCCCTTGCGTCTTAGTGGCTTCCCGCCTTGCTTGGGGTGAAACGCTTAAGAAAAAAAAACCTATCCTAGGTATAGGGACTAGGTTATATAAGAGTAGGTTATATAGTCAAGCTACCACGCAACACACATGGCCTGAAGATTGTGTTCAAGCATGAAACAGACCGTCGTCACTTGGTTTTGATTTCAGTGTCTATTTTTATATTTATATGTATATACTACGGATGAAATATTTTTTTTTTAATAAATAATAAATATGCATCTTTTCTTCAGTATTTGGTGCAACTCGGCGATGAACAATGGATGTGAATAGACTAAGATAGATAGATAGATAGATAGATGCGAACATAGGTGGATAGGTAGATAGATAGATATGAACAGAAGGGGGTAGATAGATAGATAGATAGATAGATAGATGTGAACAAAGTTGGATAGAAAAGTAGATAGATATGAACGGGAGTAGATAGATAGGAATAGACTACGATAGATAGATAGATAGATAGATAGATGTGAACAAAGTTGGATAGAAAAGTAGATAGATATGAACGGGAGTAGATAGATAGGAATAGACTACGATAGATAGATAGATAGATAGATAGATAGATGTGAACAAAGTTGGATAGAAAAGTAGATAGATATGAACGGGAGTAGATAGATAGGAATAGACTACGATAGATAGATAGATAGATAGATAGATAGATAGATAGATGTGAACAAAGTTGGATAGAAAAGTAGATAGATATGAACGGGAGTAGATAGATAGGAATAGACTACGATAGATAGATAGATAGATAGATAGATAGATGTGAACAAATGTGGATAGATAAGTAGATAGATATGAACAGAAGTGGATAGATAGATAGATAGACAGATAGATAGATAGATAGATGTGAACAAAGGTGTATAGATAGATAGATAGATAGATAGATAGATAGATATGAACAGAAGTATATAGATAGATAGATGTGAACAAAGGTGGATCGATAAGTAGATAGATATGAACAGAAGTACATAGGTAGATAGATAGATAGATAGATAGATAGATGTAAACAAAGATGGATAGATAGATAGATAGATAGATATGAATAGAAATCTCTCTCTCTCTCTCTCTATATATATATATATATATATATATATATATATATATAGATAGATAGATAGATAGATGTGGACAAAGGTGGATAGGTAGATAGATAGATATGGACAGAAGTGTATAGATAGATAGATAGATAGATATTAAAGGAAGTGCATGAATGTATAGATAGATAGATCAATACATAGAAAATATATATTTAAATGAGAGAAAGAAAAAATGGAGTAAAAAAACACAGTTCGTAGTATTTAGTTTTGAAAAAAATGCTCAATACAAAGTAGAGCAATATATGACATTAAAAAATAACTCTCCCACCTCCACTTTATGAGCATATAATTTATTTAGCGTAGATCTGACATTTAATTGGTTAATCAAGACATACCCACAAGTCTATTTTTAATTCTGAAATTATGTCTCCCTTTTAAATTTCTGAAAAGAGGTAACAATTTATTTTTAAATTTCCTTAAAAATCATTTAATCACCAGTTACTTACCATCGCCTGAAGAAGTACAATCAAAGTATTGAAACATGAAAGTTTTTGTGTAGGGATTTGAAAATGTTTTTATTATAATCTCATTATAATAATATAATAATAATAGGCAGATAGATATAAACAGATTGTGATAGATAGATAGATGTGAACAGACTGTGATAGATATGAACGTAGTGTGATAGATGTAAACAGAATGTGATAGATAGATAGATAGATAGATAAATGCATACAAACATATATACATACATATGACCAGAGTGTGATAGGTATGAACTAACCGAGCTAGAATGATAAATATGAAAAGATTGTGCTGGTTAGATACATTTGAACAGACTGTGATAGAGAGATAATGAAAAAAGATAGATTTGAACAAAAGTAGATAGATTTGAAGAGACTATGGTAGCTAGCTAGCTAGCGAGATAGAAAGATATGAACAGACAGATATAGATAGCGAGATGTGATATGATATAATTAGGCACTAATAGTGTCGAGCGTAAGGTAGGAATACAATCATATATGATGCAATGAAAACTCCATAAATAAGTAAATGAAATAAAGTCGACAGAAGTCGGCCATGTATCTGTTGTAACGCTAAATGAGCCTGCATAACTGATAACTGAAAAAAAAAAATCTTAATTTAAAAAAAGAAAAGAAAAACACAACAACAAAAAAAAAGTCAACAAAAAGCAAAAATGAAACGAGAATTCTTGTCCAGTTTTCCTCACTTCTTTCTTGCTGGCAGTTCCTCGAAAATGAGGAAAAGCAGTCATTTTCATTGGAGAACGTATAACAAAGAAATTTCAATCAATACAATAAAATAAGCTTGAAGGACATTGAATTCTACACACACAAACACACACACACATACATATATATATTATATACATACATATATATATATATATATATATATATATATATAAATTATATATATATATATAAAATATATACATATATACAGTAGCGGCCATAATATAAGGAACGGAAACAACAAAGACATAAATATGTGTATTACTTAAAAAAGTAATGCATGATATATTTCCTTTGTTCCATTTAATCTTTATTTAAAAAAAAGAACAAACTATTATGCAAATTTTTGTAACTTTGTATAATATTTATGCATTACACCGTAATCTTTATTCGGTAAAAATTTCATTGCTAATCATCCATTACTTTTTAAGTAATACACATATTTATGTCTTTGTTGTTTCCGTTCCTTATATTATGGACGCTAATGTATTACTGCATGTTTCATTAAATAATATAGAGAAGTTTTGTCTATTTATTTTAAGTAATTTCCTTTTATATTGTCCGATAAGCTTAATCACATTATCGTTGAAAGACGAAAGGAAAACACCATATTGATACATGTTTAAACCCAGTCTAAGCTTTCGGCTTACATAAGCCATTATCAAAGATGACAATTTCAATATATCAAATAACAACGGACAAAACAACAATGATGGTCCGTCCTTGTTGCATGAAAATTTCCAAGTAACGACAAACTCGTATATACGAGACGCGGAAGCAAAAATCACGTTGCAGCTCGTGACGTCACACATGACCACGCGAGAGTTATATATATATATATATATATATTAAATATAATCAAAATGAATAGAATGACCAACGCCAAATGTTATCGGTGATTCATCCGATAGAAAGCGTATGGGGCCTGTTATTAAAAGATTTTCATGGCAGAATGGAAGAAAATACGCAAGCAAAGATCGCTGATAAAGATTAAAACTGCTGCGTGTAATGTTAAAATCTGAATAAAAGTGGTTCAGAATCAAAGACATATGTCACATCTAAAGTAATCCGTATTCCTTTTTAAGGTATGCCGAATATTGGGTTAATCTATTTCTATACGCAGTTGATTTATTTAAAAATATTGACTTATATGGCCCGTAAATGAATTATACGACATGGAAAAAGACATTACTAGATCCATCAGAAACTACATGTAAATTAATGCGAGCTCCAACGGATAATCAAGCATAATAAGCCATATAAGCTTATTTTTATTTATTTATTTATTTATTTATTAAGCATTTCACCCAAGCAAGGCGGGAGTGTCACTAGGTACGTAAGGGGCTACAGGGAGTGAAAGCAAGGGAAAAGAGGGGGTATGTGAGGAAAAGCCAAAAAAGAAAAAAAGAACGAAGGCGGATAAAAAAAGAATGGGAATCAAGACATCAGAAGATGTCGATTTACATTATATTTGGATGCTTGAAGATTATAGTTATCCGCGAAGCAAGTAAGAGGAAGGGAGTTTCACTGTCGGGAAGTGCAAGAGAATTTGTTGAAGTAGCAAAGGTACCTCAGAACTTGATGCATAGCAGAAATTGATCGGTAATAAGAGGAGGACAGTGTGAACATGATATGTGAATTTTCTGGCCACAATGATCTCAAAGCGAAACAATCCAAATGAAGGAGAGTGTATATTTCATAGACGACACAGAAGCTCTTGGCAAGGACAAAATATTAATAACTTACGAATTGGTCAATAACTTAATCTCGTAAAGTCAAACAAAGTATTTCGAGCAAGGTACTCTCTTCATTATAAACAACGCTAAGCTGGACGATAGCTGATGAAACCTCATATCGCTGAATCATTCTTTTCGCGTACAGGAAAGAGTTTTTTTTACTGCTTTTTTTTTTTCACAATGACAGTGAAAATATTATTTTAATCGCTGTCCTCACCGTCAAGAATATGCGATAAATGCTTCCGTAGAATAACGGGAAATCTTGAAATTATCGGGAAGCTCCTCTGGGGCAATTTCTCAAACGATCCTTGACGAAGAAGACCTTCAATCCTTGAGAACAAATCATCTGCACAACAACGATCCTCCATGTAAGATTGCCCTGTGGAGATGCGATGACGAGCTTGGATTTGCTGGGAACAACGAGCCATTAATCAGCTATGCCTGCGTACTATACTGGTATTTTCCTGAAGGCTATAATAAATTAGTATTTGCTTTAATGGCGTCATTTAACAATGGCGGACAACGTGTCCCACTGATTTATTATCAGTTTTTTTAACAGTACAATGAGCTTCGAAACTATTACAATGATAATTAAATTGTTTAATTCCAAAAGCCAATATCGTTAACAAAAGAAATGAAGAAGAACATCCTGCTGCTTCTTCTTTGTTGATTTGTTTGTTTAACGGCACATCAACTCCTTCATGGGCCATTCAATGCCGCAGTTTAATTTCCTTGGGAGCGTTGAAGTAATAAAAATATGATATATGTTAATCTGCTTTCACAATTGAATACATGGGAGATGATACTCAGCTTTTGTCTATATACATGTTTGTGTGGCCATGATTACTAGAGGTGGTGATATGTGTGTTTTATGCCGTAGATTTGTTATATTTAATTATATTTTGGAATACAGTTAGGAATTTTAGGATATTATTATTATTTTATTAGTTTTTTAACAGTGGAATGAGCTTCGAAATTATTACAATAACTAAATTGTTTAATTCCAAAAGCCAATATCGTTAGCAAAAGAAATGAAGAAGAAAATCCTGCTGCTTCTTCTTTGTTGATTTGTTTAATGGCACATCAACTACTTCATGGGCCATTCAATGCCGAAATTTAAGTTCTTAATGCTGTTTGTCTGGTAGTATTTTAAACGGATTTGGGTGAAGTCGCTACAATTTGTTAGTATGTGCGTATTGTTGGTAATTTTACTATAAATAGGTAGTGTTAGCATTTTTCTTATATAAGAATATATTGCCTTGACCGCCTTTCAGGACTCAAATGCACCCCCAGTACTAAAGTCGACTTTAGGTCTGGGGGTGCATTTGTTTAGACGATCCATTGCTAAAATGTCTTGAAAAAGAATGTTCGATTCCTTATTGATTTGATTGGATTTGTTTGCTTAAAGGTATATCAACTCCTTATGGGTCATTTAGTGTCCCACTTTAATTTTCTTGGGAGTTTTCAAGTAATAAAAATATGATATACGTTATTCTACTTTCACAATTGAATACATGGTAGATGGTACTCCGCTTTTCTCCATATAAAAGTTTGTGTGAACATAATAATCAGAGGCGGTGATATGTTTTCATGCTGTAGTTTTTTGAAGTTATATTTGGGAATACAGTTTGATTTCTTTAAGAAATTTTGGTATATTTATATAGATTAATGTAATGAAAAAATTCTATCGTGTTCCTTGTTTGGTTGGTTGATTTTGTTTGAGGGCACGTCAACCTCTATGGGTTATTTAGTTCCAAAATCTAAATACTTTGTACGTAATTTCATGCTTTCAGAGTAAAGGTATATTTTTTAGATATAGATTTTGTAGATCGTAAAATATATTTTTGATAATTTTACTATAAAAATACCTTTATATATTTTTAGTGTTGCATTGAATGTAATTTTGCTATAAAATGAATTGTTGTTCATTTTATTATTAAGATGTACTGTTGATTTTTGTTTAGGTGTTTTTTTTTTATTTGACTATAGCTGGGACCCTAACAGACCAAGTTGAAGTAAGCCAGTCACATAATAGACAGAGGTATCTAAATACCTCACATGAAAGGCTTGAACAAATAAGACTGCATTCTAAGAACTGATTAATTAACTATAAATTTGTATAGATTATTAAAACAACTAACAGAAGTAATCACTTATAAATTTACTAAGTTATTTTGATTAGTCCGATTTTCTACTACAGATGGGACAGGAAATATGTAAATAAATACAAAAATACACAGAAAATACAAAGAAAATATATAAATAAATAAACATTTATAATTATATATGGTTTGATAATAATCATTATTATTATTAGATTCGGGTCTTTCAAATGTAATTTCACTTCTACAGAGGCGTAATCAAAAGGTTCTAAGCCTCATCCCCCACAAAAACAGAGCTATATCTGAATATTTTTGTTACGGCAACACATTAATTCTTATAAAACTAGGAAAAATTTCTGGGCGGGTGAGGCTCATACAAAGGTAATAGGTGTTCGGGAAATCTAAAATTGGACGAAATCGAGCATTTATAAAGTATCTGCAAAAGAAAGGTTAAACACCCAAGGAAATCCATGAGGACATGATACAGACATTTGATAAGGACTCGCCTTCTGGAGCAACCGCGAAGAAGTGGGCTGCCGAATTAAAGCGGGGCTGGGACAGCACAGAAGAAGACTCTCAATCAGGTCGTCCCAAAACATCAACCATTGATGATCTAGTTGATACCATTCGCCGTAAGGTTTGGAATGACAGACGTC